CTGCCTGGGCCAGGCCTTGGGGCAGATCCCTGGCTGTGTAAGAGCCGTGGCTGAGGCACCGCTGAAATTCCTCTGGAGYTGGGCAAATATGGCAAAATAGGAGCTGGATGATTCAGCAGGGAGGTGTAAAGTGRAGAAATACAGCTGGTCAGGACTGCCTCGGCAGGCAGAGGGTTTGTTGACAGCTCCATCCTCACCTTGGGGACAGCCAGCTGCAGACACATCCTTTGCCAGCCCTACAGGTGACCCAGGGAGCTGTGGGGTAGTGCTTTGAGATCCTCTGTTGAAATGTGCTGAAGAGGGCAAAGGGCTGGGCCCACTCARCCACTTCTGATGGTTTCTTTAACTGAAACTTGTTTCTATGACGGGAGTAATTACCCATCCAACAATTAGTGCTCTGGAGGTGTGTCCCTGGCTTCCCCGTGCTGTGTATTCAGGAGAAAAGCGGATTTGGGGGGGTTTTGAGCATTTCCTGATGGATGAGAGTTGGCTGAGCTGCTGTTGAGCTCAGAGGGAGCTGGAAGGTTCTGGAGGCAGCCCTGCTCCCTTTCCTGGCACAGCCTCCCCTCGGCCATGCCACAGCTGCCAGCAGGGGTGGCCGTGCCACTGTCACCCAGCAGCTCTGCCAAGGAGCAGCGTGGACAGCGGGGTAGGGGCTCCTGACAAAGGGTGAGCTCAAAGCTGCTAGCGGGAGGCTGCAGTAGACAGCTTGTGATGAGGCAAGTTTCCATGGTTCTGTGGGGAGATGTGCGTGTTCTGTGTGTCTGTGTGCTGTGAGCCCGGGGAGGGGCTGTGTCCTGCCCTATGATCCGTCTGCACGTGTCCATGTGGATTGCCTGTGAGTGAACAGCATGCTCCCAAACCTTCACGTGCTGCTGAAATCGTGTTGTAACCTCAAAGAGAAGAGACATTAAAAACAAAAAAACCCAAAAAACCCAAAAACCAAAGAAAAAACCAAAAAACCAACCCAACCTAGAAGGGAGAAATGAGACAGTTTAAAATCTTTTTAATTGTTTCCTTCTGAGCTGAGAAATCCGAAAGGCTCCGAGTGACGTTGCCTGGTGCTATAAAAAGACATGATTTCAAGTGACAGCGCAGCATCTCTCACCAGTTTTGTCTAGCCAAATTATGAATCTGGGAATTTTCTTGTTCTCCTCTGAGCCCCGCCCTGTGAGCGATCCCTGCGTGCAGCTGCAGCCGCGCTGCACAATGAGACACGAACCAGCAGAAGGAGCTCCAGCTCTGCCCACGGGGTGGAGTTGGCTGCTGTGCCTGCAAATTGTTACCTCGCCATCGATCCTTCCCTTTGTGCTTTGAATTCCGCTCGCCACGCRGCCCAAAATTGCCTTGGAAAAAGGGCTTTGCTCATTTCTTTCTGGTGAATTGCAGCGGAGTTATGGCTTTGCATATTAAAAAAAAAAAAACATCCCTCAAGGGACAATTTTGCACGATGGCCCCGAGTTCTGATGAGGGAATGAATCACTTCAGAGCAGWACAGAAAAATACCTGCCTGCCAGACTTCTTACAGAATTGCCCTTTTTCAGAGTTTGAAGATGTGCAGATTAGGTGAATTCTCCCCTCACAGCCCCCAGTTTCTGCTTTCCAGAACATGGATATGTCCAAAAAAAGATGGAAAAGCCATTCTTGGGGCACCTCAAGCCATAGCAAAGCTCTGTCTCACAGTTCACAAGGAAATGCATTCTGGAATTCCCAGACYACAGTGGTTTTATCTGCATGTCCCACACACGGCGATGGTGCATGTCCTTGAGATCCACAGGTTGGATGGCCAAGCCATTGGATAAATGTGAGAAATACAAAACCTTCAGCTGCTTATGCAGGTAGAGCCAGCCAGGAGCTTTTGGCATTCCTCCAACCCAGATGCTGATGCCAGTAGCCCAGATGCTGATGCCAGTAGCCCAGATGCTGATGCCAGTAGCCCAGATGTTCATGCCAGTAGCCCAGACTCTCACACAGGGCCACACGTAGGACTGTGGGAAGAGCTGCTTTACTGAGGGAAGGGCCAGGCTGTGCATGGGTGTGTTTCAAGCGAGGACAGACATTTTTCAGGAGTTTGGACCAAAAAGGCTGTTTTGGGAACGAGCTGAATGGGGTTTGTTAGTGATCTGGCCAGGAGTGTCTGCCCTTTTCCCTTTTGGAGATGACAGACTGTGGATTCCCTTCSTGCAGTGTAGCTCCACCACTGTCAGTGGATGTCAGCCACACTGTCCTTTCTCTACTTTTCCAGCTTCCCAAGTGCACAGTGWTTTGCTGATCCAGGAGGTTCTGTAGCATTTCTGTATCATTAAAACACATCAGTTCCCGCTTCCCAAATCGATTCTGAGGCAGTGAAGAGCTCAGCCCWGTAAGGCCAGGTGCTCTGCAGCCACAGGATGCCAAAGCCATGGGGCCGTGGCACTACAGCAAGGTGGCTYTAAGGACTTCCAAAGGTTAAAACAATTTCTGTGTTCCACCCCCCCCCCCACCAGCAGCAGCTTTGAGTTCACAGCTCCCCTGTGCTGTAGAACATCAGCAATTTTGGTGATACAAGGAGTGTTTGCCTTTGCAGTAGTTCCTGGTCCTTTGGGTCAGTCTGAGAGCCAAACCAGATTTATTTCCCAATTTTAGCCTTGTATAAGGGACTTGTAGCAGATCCTGACCTTCCCACAGATCCTAAAATCCCTTACCGGTCTCTGCTGGGAGAATTGTCTRAGGGCTGGTGGGCTCCAGGAGAAGGCTGACACCCTGTGTGGGTTCAGGGCTGGGGTTTGCCCTCCAGAGCAGCCCTACAGTTGGTCTGTGCCCACACGTTGGCCTGGAGCAGGACACTTGGAGCGAGCAGTGCCACGAGAGATGGGAGAGGAGGCCACAGAGGAGCTCAGTGCCCTGCCCTAGGGGGACATGGTTGGTCTCAGTCCCACAGTGCAGTGAATTCAGACTGTTCTTTGGAGTTCTGTACCACGAGGGTGGAGCAGAAGTTGTGTCAGGTGTCGTGCAGCTGCCCCTGCCCAGCTGTGACCCCGAGACCCTGGGGCTGCCCTCGGCTCTGCAGATGGGAGATGGGAGCTTGACAAGACAGACAAGGGATTTTATTGATGAGTTACTATTCCAGCATGCAGGTACAGATGCAGAACATCTCCAGGCTGATCTTTCCAAARGAGTTTGAAACACCAACTGATTAATTTGTTAAAGGTTAATAAGTGTGAATCGCAGAGTGGTTTTTGCCCACTGTAAGGAATGACCTTGGTTATTCCCTGCAGTGGACAGAAAGCTGTACAAAATACAGTAAAGGAGAAATCAGTTACACACACTCAAGACATCTCCATTTGCTCTAATCCTTGGAGGATTTTCACCCTTGATTATTAAACTCTTTAGCGAGGAGTAGCGAATCAGTTCTCTTCCCCAAAGACATGCCTTAGTCTGTGCCCAAACGAGGTCGTGCCTGACAAAGCAGCAGCTGCCTGAGCTGTGTGTGAGCTCTGTGGGTGCCCCTGTCAGGCTTTCCCTGTGTGTCAGTGCCCGTGGTGTCCGTGCCCGGCCAGCGCTGGTGTGTCTGTGTGCGGGAGGAGCCGTCAGCCGCATTGCTGTGCACGCCTTGCTCTGGTTCTGGGTGCTAATCACCATATTTTGCCTTCTCTAGCACCTTCCCAGCCGAGGATCTCAAAGTGTTTTACAAACATTAATTAATTTAGCTTCACCACCCTCCTGTGAGGTAGGTGGGGGATGCCATCCCGCTGTCCAGATGAGGACTCTGAGCTGCTCGGGGACGGTGGCCTCGCTGCTGCGGTTAAAGCCCGGGGAGGCGGCGGCCCCGAGCCGGCCCTCGCGAAGCCTTGCCCGTCCCACGGCCGGGGCCCTTCCGCAGAAGGAAGAGCAGTTCTGCGTGATCCAGAGATGGCCAGAGCTCACAGCACCCTGCTCCACAGCCCTGCTCCTCTCTCCTTTCCTGCAGTCGTGGTTTCCAGCCGGCCCCGCTGCCCTGAGGCTGAAGGAGGGGTGTCCCTCATCAGCGGCGTTGAGGGGAAGAACATTCAGACTGTATCACTGTGCCCTGTAGGCTGCGCTTTGGTGGTGACACCCATCCCTCTGTTCYACTGCAGTCACCCAGAGCCACAGCCCTTCCCACACCATCCTTTACAGCAGRTTGCCGAAATGCCCATTTCCATGGGAAAGCTGTAAGGGCAGCACCCTCTCTCCCTGTTCCTGCACAGGAGCTGTGGCTCACCTGTGTGGGAATCAGACATCTCCACCCTAAAAGCGTAGCGTTGCAGCCCATCCATTGCTGCCAGTTTGGATTGAGCAGAATCTCAGCCTTTTCTGCGTTGTGTGCAGCCATTTTGGGCTGAAACCAGACTGGTTAACTGAGAACAAACCCTATGGAAAAGTCCTATAACGTTCCCAGAGAATGAGCTGCCCTTCTCATAGGYGCATCCCTGCAGGGTAGGGCTTCTTGCGCAGCAGCTCCGCTCCGTTCCGTGTGGGAATCGGAGCGGGGCGGCGCTCGGGGTCATCCGCTCGGGGCTGGTCAGAGGGGCATGCCGGGGCAGGGCTGTTCCCCAGGGATGGCCGGGAGGGAGGGTGAGAAGGAGCCAGGAGCAGGAATGTTAGATTGGAGCGGGGTGAGCGGCGCGGCCGTCAGCCTCAATGCGGGCAGTGCCTGTCCCTGCTCCCTCCGCCACACAGGACTTTTCCATCGGGGCGGGCACGACTCTGCCCACGTAAAATAATGGATCTTGTCCCAGTGTCAGAGCCTGGGTGCAGGGAGGCAGCCTCGGAGCTCAGAGGTCAGGCAGGCGCTGCGTTGCTGTCGATGTGCCAGCTCTGGCACGTGCTGGCGCGTGGGACCCTGGTTGTGAGCGATAAGTGATAAGAAGTGATAAGAAGCGATAAGAAGTGATAAGAACGATAAGAACGATAAGAAGCAGTAGCATGACGAAGAAAGACTATTGACCCAATTGCTCTTTGACTGATCTGTTTCTTTTTCCCCCCAATCATCGATGCAGGTGTGAGCTACTCCAAGTCGGTTCCTCCAGCCTACCCACCACCCCAGGATCCATTAAATCAGGGACAATACATGGTGACAGATGGCATATCCCAGTCCCAGGTCTTCGAGTTCACCGAACCCAGACGCAGCCAGGCACCATTCTGGCAAAACTTCAGCAGGTTAACACCATTCAAAAAATAATACCTAGAGAGATGGAGAATTTTAACTTAAAAGAACTAAAATTTAAAAATAAAAATAAATAAAATTATATTTATAGATGGACCTTTTTTCGGAGAAGCACTGTTGCAACTAAATATATATACATATATATATGTATACACACATTTTAAAAATAATAATATATATACATATATGTATATATATAGAAGGACCAAAAACTTTTTTTGTTGTTTTTGGGAAGTAATCTGCYACTAGATACTAGGAAGCACCAATGATTTCTAACCATGTGACCTGTTTTATTTTATTCCATTGGTTGGACATATTTTTCTTTTTTTTTTTCATTTTTCCCTGTTTTCCTTCATTTCCATCTGAGTCGTCATTGGCATCCCAGAATGCTTTCTCGCTTGTGTGACTCCGTCATGGAAGTTCCTCATGGACTACATTGKTGTATATTTTCTTTGATTTTATTTATGGGGGGTGTTGTTTGTTTTTTGGAGTGCTGGGAGGTCTGTGCTCCCTGTCCCTCCCTCTCCGTCCCTCCCTTGGCTGTCCCCGAGTCCCCAGCCCCGGGAAGGGCCCAGCCCTGTCCCTGTCCTGCATTCCCTGGTCTGACTCGTGCCTGTCTGGATGTGCTCCCTGTGCTCCCGCTCCGCTGCGCAGTATTTCTCTGGCTTTAACTGTTCTCTCGTGGGCAGGTGAAACCCAGCAGAAGGGCAAGCAGCTATTTAGGAAGTGAAAGATGRGTTTTCCTCGGTTCATTTTTTTGCATTTTTTTAAGCACTCGTCTTTTTCTCAATTCGGTGTGGTTTGTTCACACTCCGAGTAAGACTGAGAAAAGAGAATCAGGGGCTTTTCTTCTTTTTGCTTTGTTTCCTTGGGCTTATCTTTGATTTATTTTCTTTTCAAGCTGAGACACGGCTCTGAAAAGCCCACTCCTATCTTTGTTTTCCATGCAAAGATAAAAGCTTAAAAACCGATGGCTTCACGCCTCYGTTGCAGAGAGGAAAATTGGCTCCCAGGCTCTGACAAACGGCCAGTTTTCTGTCTTCAGGAACTAAGGTCCCATCCTTTGGCCACACTCAGCCTGCACAGCACCCCTTTAACGAGCCCCTCGTTGCCATTTGCAGGAGCAGTGACCCCAAAAGCGAGGAGCAGTGACCCCAAAAGCGAGGAGCGTGGCTGCGGTCCCTGCCCGCTGCACCCTGGGTGCCCCCGAGCCCCGCGAGTGCTGCCACTCGAGCCCCGCTAGCAGAAGGATCCCTGCCCGAGTCCCTGGGAATGTCCAGCTGAGGTTGGGAATGGCCAGCCCCGAGCTGCAGAGGGGCTGAGCTGCTTTCCCCGCAGGGATCTGTGGATGTGGCTGGGTGTTGTGGCCGTAGCTCTGTGCCCCAGCCCCAGCCGSGGTCGCTCCTGGCGGCTCCCAGAGGGGTCAGCTCAGGGGGTTCTGGAGTGATGGATCAGCCCAACCCTCCAGGTCTCTTTCTCTCTCTTTTTCTCCCTCTGGAGATTCACAGCTCTATTTTTAAAGGCACTTCCTACTATTTCAGCCTTAAGTACATTTGTTTGCAAGTGCAGAAGCTTATGGTTAAGCTTGTAAAACAGACCATTGTCAGGAGGAGGATTTTTTGTTTTTCCTAGGGCAAATGAGACTGTTTAACCAGATTTAGAAGATGAACTYGAAATCTTTGCAGAGCTATTCTGCGAGCTCCTTTGAAAATGTGGGATGAAGTGATTGATCACGGTATTTGTCATTTTCTTTGGAATCTGATACACCACATAAGCACCCCAGGACAAAGAGTGTGGAGATACTTTTTTTTCTTTTTTTTTTTTTTTTTTTTTTTTGCCCCTAAGAAATCCAAGTGAATGGGAAGAGCAGAGAGTGTGATTTCATTGTTTCCATGGAGCCTGTTTTATTTCAGGGCACATTGCAAGGGTGGCATTATTTTTATTTAAATCCAAAAATAATCTCTCATACTTTTGAATAATCTAGAAGCTATCAATAACCAGCAAAGCCAGATTAGTGTTTTGGAGAGGAGGAGTGGCCCCTCTGTGACAGGCAGCAGCCAAATACCAGGAATCCCAAATAGGAAGCAACATGATTTTATATCAGAAATTATTTTATGCTCTTTTGTATCTTTGCATTTTTACAGTCAGATTTTAGTATGGGATGCATAGCAAATATTCTTTTGTTTCTTTAACAGAATGGGTATTTAAAGTAGTGCATGACATGGGTTCTTGTCAGTTAACTGCAATGTTTTACTCTTTTGGAATGGCTGGAGAGATGCAGAGAGAGAGAGAGAGAGAGAGAGAAAGAGAGAGAGATTCCAAAATGTTGTCAACGTGATGAAAATTCCGCTTACTCCTTTTGCCTTTTTAATTGCTTAGGGAAAAAAAAAAACAACCAAGTAACAAGCACATTAGTTAAGCCTGTTCATTTACTGTTTTGTGCCTCAGAGAGTGAGAATGAGACATCCATAATTTTTATGAGAAGATGCTTCCTAAATATTCAGCACTAGGAAAAAAGAAACACCACCGCCACACCATTATTTGCATCATAAATCAAGATCTGACAAGGCCACTTGTTGGACTCGCAGCTTCTTTGTTAAGTGGGAAGCCCACCCGGGGCAGCGCCGCTGGTGCTGGCGCTGGCACAGCGGCTGCAGGGACGAGGGGCTTGGCTCTCGGGCCTTCAAGAAAGCTCTTGCCCTCCATAAATTGCCAAGGTGCTGCAGGAGATGGAGCATTGGCACAAAGAAGAACCAGCACTGGGTCCCACTGAGCACCTGCTGTGGCTTTCCCAGTAGGGAGCAGGGCTGGAGCGTGTGTGTGACAGCGCTGGGAGCAGTGCCCGTGCAGATGGGGGTGACTTGACTGAGCATCTGATACAGACTTTCATTCCAATGCCAGACAGGAGGAACCCACTTCCCATTCCATATGCAGAAACAAGAGAGTTGTGACAAAYGTACATGTTTACGGGATTTCTCTGGCTGAACCTATATATATATATATAAAGAATAAAAAGAAACCCTCTTCCCTAGGTAAATGACATGCATTACCCCTTAACCTAGACACTAGAACAGAGGATCTAAATTCAAGACTTTCGCCTCCCCACCCTCTCCAAAAAAAGTCAAACAAGAACCAACCTAGGTGCATCTAACAGTTGTAAATAGAAAATACTACATAGAGAAATATATTTGAAATTTGTTTCAGTTTCTGGATGGGCACCAGCCGTCCATTGCAAATGTTATTGATAGTACACTGTGGTGCTTTGGGTTTCTGGTTTTGTTCTCTTTATGCTCTGTCATCTTTTCATTGCAGCTACATTTCAGGGAACATGTATATTTAGTAGCTATTGTAAGTTCTGCATGGCATCACCAAGCTTATTTTTCCTTAAGAAGAAAAGAAGAGTCTGTAGGAGCTTAAAGGCACTATGACGACAGGGACTTGTAGCAGAGAATTTAAAAAAAAAAAAA